AAAATAAACTTGACTAAATAGATAATTTTAAATTAACTCAAATTCTCATTCAATTTGATTCATTAATCAATCTCAAATCAAATTAAATAAGTAATAACAAGATTGAAATTTAATTAAACTGAAATTTAAATCTAATTGAATAATAAATTACCTTAAATTAACCAATTAAATTTCAAAACCTTAAATCAAAACTTAGATGGAGCTGATTAATATCAAATTAGAATAAATCTAATAATTAACTTAAAACTATATAAATAAATTTAAAATAAAATTAAAACTTTATTTTGAGCTAAGATTTCACAATAAAAATGAAATCAAAATTGTTCTATTTAGTTAAATTATTTTAGACTTAAATTTAATTAATTAATGTTTAATTGGAAAAACATTTAATTAAATTTTAAAATTTTAAATCAAATTAATTGAGTAATCAATTTAAATAATTAAATAATTTTAAAATATATATATAATACAAGCTCTCACTAGTGGACAACTTCAGCCACATGTGAGCAGTCTAAATTGTTGCATGTAAAATGTACCTACTAATAAATAAATAAAGACATTAGCTCAATATAAAAGAGTAAAATTAATGTTAAACAGAGAAAAACTAGAGCATAGCTAAACTAAACTAGTGCTAGAAAGTAAAACTAGTAAGCAAAGCTACTATTATAGACAGAACTGGTGTTGGAAAGTAAAACTACTACTCCAAACAAAACTAGTGATAAAACTAGTAAGCAAGCTAACACTGCAAGTAAAAACTACTATGAAACACTAAAGTTAGTGTCGAGGCAAGGAATTGCGTAAGCTATGTCTTTATTGATTTGAGCCATATAGGTAACTTCTAATAGGAGTAGTAAATCCTATCAGTAAATATTTCGCTAAGTATATTTATTAAGTGAAGCAATAAATATCCAAAATTTCCCTCGACAACTTCTAATAGAAGTCGTAAGCCCGGTCTTTGAGGGAAATCTCTTAATAACAACATAAGGTCTCTGGCCACTTTCAATGAAAGTCATAAGTCCGACTTTTAAGGAAAAATGTATAAGTGATAACATAACTCAAGACCCCCAATAACGGGCATCCTAGTCTATAGAGATATGTTGTAAGCCCAACTAT